TATGAAATTATTTTCTTAAATTATTTCTTATCGAGAAAGTAAAAAAGAATATTAACAAAAATTCAGTGTGACTCAACTGTAAAGCAAAATTTCAGTGAAGTGGATTTGTTTTATTTGATTGAGACAAAGCACCCTAAAACCTATCTGCCTAAGGGAAGGGTTGCTTTTCTGGAGAACTTTCTAAGGGAACTTTCTCGTATACACGTTACGTATAGGGAAAATAATGAAAACGCCCATGCAGCCAGCCCGTTCTCGGGATTCGAACTTCGGACTGAACTACCAGTGTTCAGCGACTTTACCGCTCGGCAGCCCAGTTAAATGGGCATTTTCGAATCTTAGCGGTGCATGGAAAGCAATACTGTGATCCAGCCGCTTATGAGCAAAAAATGATCGATTCAAAGGGTTCACCTCGCCCATTTTCGAGCATACATCTACTTCCACATGACAATGCTTGACAGTTGCAGAGTCCTTGCAAAGGCAATCAACCTTTTCACTGACAACTCCCAACCTGATGGAGGGGTTGGGAGTGGAATCATAATAAAGAAGAACGATACAAAACTAGGTTTGTGGAAAGGACACTTAGGAACTGAGAAATCAGTCTTTAAGGAAACGGCGGTGGTCATTAGACAGGCCATAGGAGCCCTAGATGACTATGATGGGGATATGTACTATATATTTTCGGACAGCCTCTCAGTACTTCATGCGATCCGAAATCCCCTCCATACAGATCCACTCATAGAAGATATACAACATATGCTCCGGGAAAATAAGCGCCACAGGCCTATTGATATTTCCTGGAAAAAAGCCCACGCCGGACACCAAGGAAATGAAGCTTATGATCTTGAAAAAGAAGCCGCACACAAAATACATAGATGCTTATATCGTGCCCACCCTGCTTCCAAAATGCCATCTCCAGAAAGGAATCCTCACTACTGAACTAAAACATTGGCAGAATGAATGGGACGGAATTCCCCAGGACAGAAAGAGATTATATCTTTTACTGCAAGTTTCCCACGAACCGCTTAATTTCAGCTCCATTCGTAATCCGATTCGTCACAGGCCATGGTCCCTTTCCGTAATATTTCTGGAAAAGGGAATTTGTTTCCTCAAACCTCTGTGTGAGGCGAGGCTGGATCACCAGACCATTACATGATAACATGCCCACTCACAAAGGCATTGCACATGCGGTTGCCAGATGCTAACGATTCATTTAAGCGATTCTTCATCAAGCAGCCAACCATTTTAAAGAAATTAAAAATATAATGGAAAAACTAGAGGCAATAGGGCGGGTCCTGTGTCACTGTGATTGTTATGCTCCCGTGTAATGGAAAAGGAACGGTGAAACGTATATGTACTGCATACAGCATTCCTGCACATCATGACTGCATTAATGTCCATAATGAAACACAGTGACTGTAGTATCGATAACACAGTAATGACAGCAGTACTGACTGGAATGAGTAAGTAGTATTGAGAAATGTAAATAATACCGACAGTCAAAATGGAATACAATGACTGTAGTGCTGTAATGAAGGCACTCAGTGACTGTAGCGAAAAAGGTATAGAGTGAATATCATATATACTGCATATAGGATTTCTGCATACACCGAGTGTAGCACCTTGCCCCAGGTAACGCAACGATAACCCTAATTGAGTGCTTTATATTATTGTTATTAATACTATCTGCATCATGTATAATCTGCATCGAGTCCAGTATGGTATAGTATAGAAGGAACTACTTTCCTTGTATAAGTTCCTTAATATGATGCGTGATGGCCAATATAAAATGTATTTAATTAATAGTGTAATTCTTAATTTACCATACTGTACTCAATAAATAGAGTATTCTATATTCTATGATTATTGCAACAGTAATTTTTGATATGAAGTAATTTGAGCAATTTTGTATTGCGGTTTGTATATAATATGATGTGGTTAATTATTGTAATTAATATTATTTCTCATAATCTATATTGCGTGTTTATTTTTATTAATGTATTATGCATATTAGATGTTTCATTTGAATTTATTAAGTACTCTAATGTCAATGACTATGTAGAATGTAAATTTAATAAACTCCTGATGCAGCTCGTGTAGGGCACCGGGGAGTGCTGCTCTAAACAGTTGCGGGATCCGAATAACACCCGATCAGTCTATGTAAGTCACTCGGATGTCCGGCCCCGCTCTTACCTGTTTACTTGTCTGTATGTTTCCAGAAAGCCTCAAATTTTGTTTGTAAGTTCCATGTTCAGTAGTATGTATCAGTGAACGGCTTTACTCTCTTTATGAAAGGGAAAATGCCAAGCGAGATCCAAGTTAACAGGCATTCATTTAACTCTTGAAAATCGCTAGAGTGAGTAGCAAGTCTCTAGACTTCTGAAAGCTAGTTGCAGGATAAAGATGCCGGGTGCCAGGAAAGAAACAATCCATCTACTCCCAGGATTTCCTTATGTTTGTTCTATATTTTAAAAACCTACAATATTAAGTAAGATTTTATGCATTTACTCACTTTTTTAAATACATCATTGAATATGAAACTGGCTTTCTCTCCCTTAAGCCCGGTAAAATGATGATCATTTTATCCTATTTTAGGCAATGAGTTTGACATGCTTGGCTTATGGACACAAGTGCGAATGAACTCGGATGCAGAAACCGCTGCTGATAAACAGACACCCATATCAACATAGAAAACGAATTCTTTTTTAACCGAAACTGCCGAGGAGAAGTTGAGCGTGATAAAATGATGTGCAATCAAACATGCTACGTTTTAAGCTGATCAAGCACATTCCTGTTTCCATTTCATTCGACGAACGCTAATACTATATTCACTTTCATTTCTACAAAAAAAAAATTTAAATTTCACCCGCAAGTTGAGAATATATTTTTAACTTTATTCTGCTTTTGATTCGTATTCTCAAAACAAAAATTTCTAAACAAAACTGAAAAATGGTTTAAAATAGGTTGTACTGTTATGTGAAAATTCAGATGAGTTTAACAAACTTTTACAGTAATACAATTATATATGCACATATATATTATATTTGTTAATTTACCAATTCGCTAATAACTATTATATTTTAACTACCTTTAAAATGTTGATGAGATTCTTACAAAGCTATTTAGTTTGTCGTTCTACTCCAGTGTGTAAATTTTAGAAATGATTAGTGAATTTATTATTATTATTATTCTAGGCGACTTATACCCAGGATATTTTTTCTGTATACATATCGAAAACGTTTTTAGATATTTGAAAAAAGATACAACTTTCGGATATATCATGGTGTTGGTGTGTTGGTGTATTTAATTATGGCAAAGCACACGAGGGCTATCTGCCTAAAGGGAGGGATGCCTTTCGTGGAGGACTTTCTAAGGATATATCATGGAAATGTAAAATACAGACATCAGACTACTTCATCATTTGCTACCATAAAATGTAAAGAAAACTATTAAAACAGATATTTCATACCTGATGGCTGATGCCAATAGTACCTCCTACACTTGCAGAGTTTTGACAATAATAAGACAATATCGATTCAGGTATTAACGATGATTCACCTTGCAAACAAAGATTGCAAACTTAGATACTGGTAAATGCGCTACAGTATTATAAATGGATTTTTCCTTTAAATTATTTTCATCCTAACATTTCCTTTTTCCTACTCTACTCAGCTCAGATTATTTAGTTTATAGCAAAGCTCTCGATGAGTATCTGCCTAAGGGAATCTGACTCGTATTTGCATTACCAATGGGGAAGAAACCGAAAATGCACATGCAACCATGCCTTTCGCCGAGATGTTAAAAACCGGGTTTAATTACCAATGCTCAGCATTACTACTTGGTGAGCCTCCTAGTCTACCTGATTGCAAGAATACAATATCTAATCCATACAGTCAACGGCCATACCATGCTGAAAGTACCGGTTCTCGTCCGATCTAATCCATGCAGCATGTAAAGCGTTTTTCAGACTATCATTTATGCCACCAGTGAGACTCTAAAGATAAACTGACATATGCAAATAATCTCCTAAGAGCTAAGTTATGATTAAGTTTTTAACAGCAAAATATTATTTGCTAGGTTTTGGTGGAATCAGGGTTACAAAGTCATACAATTATTTTCAACATTTAGATAACCAATGATCTTCTAAGATGATACTTATGTTAGCAGTCAGTTCTTCAACTACAAAATGTTACTAGGTCAACTTTGTTTGATTTGGTTTATTTGATTATTTCAAAGTACACGAGGGCTACCCGGTGCAATATATTCTCCTATAACTGAGTGCAGGTCGAACTGTCAGTGTTCAGCTGCTTCGCTACCCGGCCACTGGTGGGACCTTAAGCTTTTGAAGAGTTAAGTTTATACACCAATTTTCAACAGCACAGGGGGTTGACGTCTCTTACCGTCATTTTCTTGACGTTAGTGTTTGTACTGTTGAAGTTCCTGAAGAACTGTTAAAACTCTAATGTAGTTATCTGCGTAACTCCTGATGTAAAACTCTAATGTCTGTTAAAGCTAACATATTTTGGTAATTGTGTTTTAGCTTTGCTGCTTGATATTGCTTTCTCAATACAGTTTTACATATCACTCCTTTTTGTTAAATAGTATAATAAAATAATTAAAATAATGAAAGTAATTACAAAAATTGTAAATAAAATGTATGATTAAGACACAATAACACGCCGAATAAATACTGATTCAGAAGTCAAACAACAAAAATTTTTGTGAATTAACGCTGATTTTTGTTGTTTGACTTCTGAATCAAAATGTATGATGCCGACTTAAGGAATCTAAAATATATAACAGAAATAATACTCATCTTAAAAATAATGCATCAGCTCGAATACAAACTATTTGCGAAGAAATAACTTCTATTTTCACCTAAATATTCCGAAGAATAGTATTGCAAAACAAATGAAAACTTCTAATTTATATCTAGAAAATTTTTATTATATGAAGTTATATGCCCATCAGAGTTTTTAACAGAGTTAAAAAAAAATGCTTACGGATCATTGTAATCCCTTCGACTACTTGTAGAAAAGTAGATATTTTCTTCGGCAGTACCATCCCATTCACCAGCTGTGTAAATTCTTGTTTCGGGAATGGATAATTTAAAACAACAGCACAAAAATAAGCCGACGCAAAGGAAAATATCACAGTGTCTCTTCTTCAGAAATATATCCATCTTTATGTCCTGTCGATGTATCTTTCGCCAATTTAGAGTAACTTCCTTACTTATAAATAAGTCATTGTCGGAGTGAGACAGGTCAGTTTTTGCTTTATTTTCGCTTCGCAGAAGGCTTCACATTTCCATACAACTGAAAAAAACAATAGAAACAGGAAACGTGACTCTATTGTCTTCATATCGAAGGAGAAGTAGATACCATCAATTATTTTTAAGTTACAGAATGTTGTTATTTAAACATATTAAATTGAATTATGACTTTTCAAGTAGTCTATTATTTCAAAATAAACAATACAGGAAATACTGTACATAAATTTTATAACAACAATGTATGCAGTCGCTGAAATTAGAAAATCATCTCTTTTGCATTTATTCAAATACATAAATGTAGTTTTTTTTAAAAAATCGGAGTTGCTATTTTTAATGAAACTCATCTGTGTTTTGGGGGCTGAAAATAATATTATGTCCCTATTTTATACCTAAGAACAAATGGTTCTATAATAAATCTGACAAACTGTAATGTTAAATTTTTAGTTACAGCATATATAATCTCAATGGTACATTAATGAACTGCATTAAAGGTAAAACTGCCAGTCTTAAATACTAATGTTCATTATTTCTTTTTAAGATAATCCTTAGGTCGCTGAGCATTAACATGAAAATACATAATCGAGCAAAAGTTAAAAATGCTTTTAGAAACAGGCAGAAAAAGAGAAAAAGATAGGGCATGAGTATTTTAGAGTTCTAGAGCACGTGGAATAGATTTTGGTAAATACATAAATACGATAATACAAACACAATGTTCTAGAAGGCACTGAAAGCAGAACCATGAGAGTGAAAGTAGTACAAATGCAACAAATCCAATAGTTTAGCGGACCGTATTGGATGCCTTGATGGAGGACTGTCTAAGGGAAACTGGCTCGTATCCATGTTACGCATCAGGAAATCTATGAAAACCAACCATGCACCCAGACCGTTCGCCAGGGTTCGAATCCAGGTCGAAGTACCAGTGTTCAGCCACTTTCTTCGCTTGGTTACTGGTGGGCCGAATAAATTATGGAGATCGCTACCAATAATACAAGCAAATGTTAGTTCCATGTGATCTCTACCTAGCCCTAACCACAGAATGATATCCCATAAGCTATTTGGAGAGTTTATTGGAACTACAGAACAAGCGTTTTCTCGCTAACTAATGTTGGGACGGCCAGTAGAAAGAGAACGTTATACGAGATGTACTGCAGTCTGTGTGGACATTTGAACATGTGCCGTGGAAGACTGATTAACTATTTTAGTCTACGGTGAATCAAGCATAACTTCAGAATGTACTTTTTGGACATTTCTACATATGGCAAGAGCCTACATTACATTAATCTCACATCATAGAAAAGAAGACTGTATAGCTGTGGAACATAAAAATCTACTTGCACATCTTTTCTGGGACCTCTATCACAGCTGTCGGCTATCCCTAATAGAAGTTCTGTTTCTGCACATTTTCTTAGTGCAGGACAATACTCAAATCCCTACAGCTGCACCGGAGAAAGAATATCTGAAAACCTAAATAGTTTTGCTCACAAAATGGCTGCAAAAGCCTTCGGATCGTAATCCAACAATCATATAGCTCATAATCAGACCATACAGTTACTTCTATATCTTTTCCCTGAAATGGACTAGAACTGCAGTATGTCTTTTTATAACAGACTGCATCTGAAATTTCTAATAATTTCTTATACAATATAGCAAGCCGCGGCGAGACTTGTGCAGCATGATTATGATACTATATTGAAAGCATATCCAATACATTTTATCTTTCTCTTCATGTATGTGTATTGCTGTGGCTTCCATTACATGCTTTAAGGACTACAATTTGAGTGCGCTTACTTGATTTTGAAATGCATTATAAATTGCAGTCAGTGTCACTGTGCCAAACTCTATCGCACCGTAATTGGTATATTTTGTTTTTGGTATTTTTATTTTGGTTTATGGTATTAAAATGACGCCGACAAAATTCGTCATTTACGAAATGTTCTACAAAAAAGTAGAAACAACAGTACTTTGAATTACCTCTTCATAATCATGATGGATCTAAAATAAAAACGTACTTCCTTGTTATAGGGGCCGCCAACCATATTTGACGATTTTAGATTTGCACCAAGATCTCAGCTATAATCTCAGCCAAGCTCGTGAAGCGCAAATTTAAAAATAAGAAACACAATATATGATAACAAACAATAATGCTCACATGGCGTTTCCTAAGAATATTTTTAAGAATCCGTACCCTTATCGTTATTATTTTATTACATGTAATTGTTCCAATGAACTGCAGCACTTTCACATATTATATTAAGCTGCTTGTTGTTTGTTACACCATTTTATGGACATCATCTTCTCAGCCCAAAAATATGTGCATCTATTAGCAGAGACATATGATATTCTGGAACCGCTGAATCAATTTCTAACACGGAGGCCCTTCGTTTTGCATTTTTTAACATCACGCCTCCAAATGGTTTCGTCGTTAACATAAAGTTTCAAGTTGCGGCCATTTTCGCATATTCGTTTGTCAGGTAAAAGACTTCTTTCTTAAAAAGCACATGATATGGCATACACCTGATTACTTGGTAAATTAAATATTCTTAACTTCATATTCACATACACAAAAAATTAATATGTTTTTAAATAAACAATGTGAATTCGAAAACCTCAACAAAAATGAATAATATAAGAACATACGGAGAAAGCTAAAATGCAATAGGGTGCTAATATACGATCACGTGGCGAGGTATAAGAACATGCGGCCAGATTTTGATGAGATATCTCGGTTGACTGACGATTCAGTATCGGAAGCCACTATAACAAAGAACTACTAATAAAAAATATAGAAATTTTTTTAAATACAAAGCAAAAAATAGACTGTATATGAAAGCATTGATGCTCACAATATGCGTTGTTATGAAATTAATTGGGAAACATTTCATGTTTAAAACTCTGAAGATAAAACGAAGCAGACTTAGATTCGTTTTTAATTTTGCAATGTACTTGATTCAATGGGATTTCGAGTACAAGTCGCGAAAACTTTGATTCTGTATGCAACTTTACTATTTGAAAAATAATTAAATATAATTGCATAAAAATATTTCATTATTGCGTTAAAGTTACAGCTTACACTATATTACCGATATATAGTGATAAAATGCGGAACATTCTAACCTCTGCGATAAAAATAAAATGCTATTTTAGATATTAAAATCTTTCTTATTTGAATAAACTACAGAAGCATTTTCTCAACTTCTCAAAACAAACTCGCTCTTAATCTTACGAAAAATAGGGTATCTGGGATTGAAGAAATGTAACTGATATCGGAACAGAACTGGAATTTAATAAGGTAAATCAGAAGACTAAATTTTGAAATTTTTAGGAGGCGAACAGAGATTTGAAACAATTGATTAAACACCTGATTCTATATTTACTTGGCAGAAAGAAGCGAACATTTCAAATAGCAAGTATATTCCGGATCAAAATGACCTCTAACGCAAATAATTTATTTTTACCCTCGGCTGCTACGACAAAAAAGTAGTTTAGTAGAAAGATATGCTTCGGTATTAAACCCTGCACCGAAGTCGAAAACTGGAGATTTACGGTGCGTTGGATGATAAGCTAACCGCTGCACCCTTAGATCATAGTAGGAATACCTTTTAATATTTCGCAAAGATTTTTTTTAAATTTTAAATAAAGTGAAGTTAATTTTCAATCCACTGATTGAAAAGCTTCGGAATTCTGAAACGAGAACGGGGAATACTGTTTTAACTCTAAGCAAACATTTTACAATCTTGGGAGGAAACATAATTTAAGAGCCCATTGGCAGCCGAGTAGCATTGGTAGTTCGGCTTGGAATTCGAGTCCCGGCGAATGGGTTGGCAGCATGGGTGTTTTCGTGGTTTTTCCCGTGTGTAAAGTGTATAAGAACCAATTTACCTTAGAAAGCCCTCCAAGAAATTATCCCTCCGCACAGATAGCGCCCGAATGCTTCGCCTATTCAAATTAACCAAACGCAATTTAAGAATTTCTCGAATAAATTAAGTAAATAGGTTCTCAAATAAATTTACAAAATAAGTGAAATGATCCGAGGATCAGAAAAGTAAAGGAAGCTGCAACATCCATAGTGCATTTTGACTTGCGTAGTTCAATGGTCGTTATGTATCCCTGTTTGCTAGATGACGCAACATTATTTAGCTAAAGAGTTGCCGTTTGTTTCTTTGTTCTCCACGGAGAGATGGCTTGCTAAGCATCGTGATTTAACCCTCTGAAACATATTTTAATAGTAACAGTAAATTCAGTATAGTCTTCAAGAATTATTATAAATAACGAGTACGTAATTTCTTTTGGAGTACCTTAAGATGTTTCCCAGAGAAATTGTGCCGCCATACTGGAATTGAAAGCGTTGCCACCAATATCATGGCAATATATTGCGACGAGGAATGGACAGGATTCAAAGCCGTTTTGAAGAACCAGCGGAGCAATCACTTTGATAAGGCGTTATATTCAAACATTGATACATAAATGCATTCTTATGTTATTTCATTTGCAGAAGAATTAATGAAAACAATTCTTTACGAATAATATGATTTTATTAAAACTCAATCAATGCTGCTACCATATTCGGCTTAACGAACGTTCAGAATTTTAATCCGTTTACTATCAAAATCTCGTCAGTAAAAAAATATTAAACACAGGTTTCACGCTGAACAAATAAAAAAATCCGTAATACGCAAAACTAATGAACTACTGTTGAATGATCTAAAACACGTTAGACAGCTTTATGCCAAATACAAAAAACTGCATCGATACATCAAGCGCAGCCATCACATTAATTCAAATCGGACTGTTGTGCAACTAGAATCTGTGATTTTGCTTCTGAAAATTGCATTTCTAAAATTAAAAATAGCTTAAAAAATTATAAAAAATAAATGTAATAAAGCATTTTTTTTTCGAAACTTTTGTTCATATTCTTAGTCTGTTAACTTTAAGTTATTTATGTGCGATTATTTGTATTATTATTATGTTGTATGCAGTATATTGCGGAGAAAATGTTAGGGGATCTATTCTCTTAAAAGGGCTTGATGCAAACAGTTCTAATAC